CTCCACTTCTGTGCACTTCTAAGAAAATACCTATTGTGAAACACCATTACTTTCAAATCCCTTTTCCCTCCGAACAAACAGCCTGTCCAACTTGTGCGTTATTTTGGGATTATTTATACTTAAGAAAAGGCTACCATCCTCAAATTTCAACCCTCTCATCTATGGGTTTAGCGCTATGAGGTCTTGTCCCGCCTTGTCTTTTGAGACTACGATTAGCACTTTCACGCACGCCTTCGAATTTTATTGGTTTGTGTCGAGCAGACGGATCACAGGAGACATTGGCGCTTGGTACTCAGTGAGTGAACAATTCCTGGTGAATACATGAGTCCACGGCCCACCACACACACACACAGAGTGACGAAGAGACACAGGCTTGCTTTTGTGTGGTGGATGACTTTGAGGTGTGAAGATGGTCAACGACGCGCTCGTTGACTTAAGGAGCGTTGCAATACAGCAGCATCAAAGTCACTTTTCATCACGGATTAGTCAACTATTCGAGGAGCCGGACAGTCAACCAGTCGGTGTGAAAACACTTTAAGATGTGCAGTAGGCCTGTTGACGGTCTTTCAGTCCGCATCTGTCCGTCATGTGTTAATTTTATCAGGCACCCATTTGTCTCGCGGCATCCACTACAATTTTACCATCCCATTTGATGCGGGCGCCGCTAAATATATCTGAAGGTTGGTCTTGACACTCCACCATCGAGTTATTACAATGTATCAATGGCAAAAAGTAATTTCAATGCATCCATCTTTGCGTAATTTACCAGCGGTACCACTTTTGTGCCGTAGGTCCTGCTACCACTTCCACAGTTTAAGAACCCAACTAAAATCTGTTCGGGACTCACTCAAGCTCGAATCACATTTATCGGGTTCACCTAACTTTTTACGGTATAAAGGTTCCAAAAATCAGAGGAAAATAGTAGATTGAGTGTTAAGGAGTACCAATGAAGGGACGAATCCGTTCGACAAGCCATTCCAGCGGGCCATTGTGTCTGATTTAGACACTCATTTTACTTCCCTGTCACCAGTCAAGCTTTCGCTTCATTAGGAGCACACATTCACTTTGTACATGGATAACTTAAAAAAGACACCAGCAATTGATACCTGGCAGTAGTTTAATCCTGAAAGTAAATCTTGTGAGAGAGATGGAGGTTTGAACTGCGACCCGAGATAAAACCAAGATAGATGTTAGTTAGGGATCAGAGGCATCGAAAACGTTAGCTTTTCTGTAGGCATACACACCTGACCCACGAGGTGTTCAACTGAAACCGGGATCCTCTGTATTGACACAAAAGGAATTTGCTTAATAAGCGTGCCACACTTCACCATGACAATACACAAGCTCAGCAGCTTCACAGCGTCTGTTTACTTAGCAAGGTCACAAGGGTCATGTTGGGGTCGCCAGAGCGGTAGGGTTAAACAATCTACTCCGTCATGTAGTAGACGCGCAGTCAAAAGCAAGTATACCACATCCATTGATTCAAAATAGCTTGAATTCATTTGCCCGGAGGAAATGAAATATTTTCTCCGCTATTAGACACTCGAAGAACGAATCCAAAGTCGTTGATTCCCCTTTGTCAAGGCCAACATGAATAATGCTGTCTTTTGTAGGCCCACTTTACCTTCTCCAAAGATTTCACCACTCATTTCTGCAGAATCTCAGCCTCATTGTTGAAGATGAAGTTGGAGTGAAGTATCCTCTCTTCCATGATACGGCAGGTAACATTTCGTTTTCGTTCATTTCTGATTGTGTCCATCTTGCTTGTTTGTACTCACAAAAAATGCTCAAATTATAAGGCGGGTTGGGGGGGGGGGGGGTGAAAAAATTACCCGAAGGCTGTGAGTCGCATCAGCCAAAGGGTTTCGCAAGTTCACCTAGTCTGTCTCCTAGATTTCATTGTTCAATTATGGAGAGTACGTAGACCTCTCCGCTATTCCCTCTTCCAACTGCATATTAATGCTACTTAGAGGAGGCTTTTGAAAAACCTTCATCGCCTTTTCCTGAAGCAGTCGATTCGCCCGAGGAGAGCGCGCAGTGTTTCATCAATCATTCCCAAGTGATCCGCGCAATCCTCTTTGTGTTTTCCAGGAGAGGTCAAAACTGATCCAAGGTGAAAGGGCCACTGCTCCTTGAAAAAGATCACGACATTTTGGTCGAAGCCAAAAACGCACGCGCGTACACACACACACAAACTGGTTACCAACACCGTTTTGGTGACGGACTGGAAAAAATGCCCAATTCCGTAGATATTTTTACCAGAGGACAAAAACTTCATTCCTTGGGAAATTTTGATATAGGAGAAATTTTGACAAGCAAACCAACTACTCCCGAATTATTTTACTACCATATGCGTTGCTGGCAGTTCTGAACTAAGGATGATAAGACACCTCAGAATAACATTAAACCATAGGTTTACTGGAATGATTTAAAAGTTAGAATAACTAATTTTCCTGAGTTGAATGAAATCTTTTTGACTAAAAAATAGTAAATTAGTCTATGAATAGTTTACTCACAATGCGATATTTTTTTCCTTACTAGATTTTAATTGGAAGAAATCTAAACTTATGTTCCCCATCGTCAAAGAAGCTAAGAGCTTTTTATAAACCAAATACTGTCGTGCATTTCATAAAAGAACGACGTTTTTTAAGTTGCGGACTTAGAAATGTGAACTTTTCAGTCTGTTCATCCCAATTCTTTCGGCGAACTTCGTACCTTTCAAATCTCGATTCATACGCTTCAGGACTTATTCAAAGGGTGCTAGCAGCTGGCGGTTGCAAGCCTGGATACCATGTCAAAAACTACGAACGAAAGGGATCTACTGATATCTGGGTACGAGCGAACTCACAGCGGAAGAAGTACCGAAGTCCCATCAAACTTTGCCGATCATCGGAACATAATGTCCGTAGATTCTGAAGAACCCTTCCCCTTTTCCATTCCATAGAACTGAGACTGCGCTTGAGGGAGAGTCGAACGGCACCAAAGGAGGATAAGATGGCAGGAAGAATGGAATAAGAAGGCTCTTGCTTTAGGATCATATTTTGGAAATGTGACAGCTTGTCAACCAAGGCTTACATGGAACCGTTTTTTACTTGCTTGTACAAATTAATTATCAATGACAAGCTTAGTGAGGTTTGTACGGTAAACATTAAGTAGGCGCAGGAGGCCTCCTGAAGTATTTTATCTGCTGAGGTACTCAAAAGGTACAACGGGACGAAAGTTAGCCACAAACTCCACTTCTGTGCACTTCTAAGAAAATACCTATTGTGAAACACCATTACTTTCAAATCCCTTTTCCCTCCGAACAAACAGCCTGTCCAACTTGTGCGTTATTTTGGGATTATTTATACTTAAGAAAAGGCTACCATCCTCAAATTTCAACCCTCTCATCTATGGGTTTAGCGCTATGAGGTCTTGTCCCGCCTTGTCTTTTGAGACTACGATTAGCACTTTCACGCACGCCTTCGAATTTTATTGGTTTGTGTCGAGCAGACGGATCACAGGAGACATTGGCGCTTGGTACTCAGTGAGTGAACAATTCCTGGTGAATACATGAGTCCACGGCCCACCACACACACACACAGAGTGACGAAGAGACACAGGCTTGCTTTTGTGTGGTGGATGACTTTGAGGTGTGAAGATGGTCAACGACGCGCTCGTTGACTTAAGGAGCGTTGCAATACAGCAGCATCAAAGTCACTTTTCATCACGGATTAGTCAACTATTCGAGGAGCCGGACAGTCAACCAGTCGGTGTGAAAACACTTTAAGATGTGCAGTAGGCCTGTTGACGGTCTTTCAGTCCGCATCTGTCCGTCATGTGTTAATTTTATCAGGCACCCATTTGTCTCGCGGCATCCACTACAATTTTACCATCCCATTTGATGCGGGCGCCGCTAAATATATCTGAAGGTTGGTCTTGACACTCCACCATCGAGTTATTACAATGTATCAATGGCAAAAAGTAATTTCAATGCATCCATCTTTGCGTAATTTACCAGCGGTACCACTTTTGTGCCGTAGGTCCTGCTACCACTTCCACAGTTTAAGAACCCAACTAAAATCTGTTCGGGACTCACTCAAGCTCGAATCACATTTATCGGGTTCACCTAACTTTTTACGGTATAAAGGTTCCAAAAATCAGAGGAAAATAGTAGATTGAGTGTTAAGGAGTACCAATGAAGGGACGAATCCGTTCGACAAGCCATTCCAGCGGGCCATTGTGTCTGATTTAGACACTCATTTTACTTCCCTGTCACCAGTCAAGCTTTCGCTTCATTAGGAGCACACATTCACTTTGTACATGGATAACTTAAAAAAGACACCAGCAATTGATACCTGGCAGTAGTTTAATCCTGAAAGTAAATCTTGTGAGAGAGATGGAGGTTTGAACTGCGACCCGAGATAAAACCAAGATAGATGTTAGTTAGGGATCAGAGGCATCGAAAACGTTAGCTTTTCTGTAGGCATACACACCTGACCCACGAGGTGTTCAACTGAAACCGGGATCCTCTGTATTGACACAAAAGGAATTTGCTTAATAAGCGTGCCACACTTCACCATGACAATACACAAGCTCAAACCACTAGCTGCATTCCATTAACTTGGCTGTAAAGTATTGTTGTACCTCTTCCATGGCCTAGATTCTGTGTAGAGTGATTCTACCTCAGAGGTCAGCAGTTTTGCATTGACGACGAGGTATAGCGGATT